TGCACAAGTGGCAATATGTGCACGGTGTTGCACAAGCGGCAATACCCGCACGACGTCGTACAAGCGGCAATATGTGCAAGGCGTTGCACAAGCAGCAATACACGCACGGCATTGCACAAGCGACAATACACGCACGGCATTGCGCAAGTGGCAATACGCGCACAGTGTTGCACAAACGGCAATACCCGCATGGCATTGCACAAGAAGCAATACGCACACAGTGTTGTACAAGCGGCAATACACGCACGGTATTGCACAAGCATGTAATACCCGCATGACGTTGCACAAGTGGCAATATGCGTTGCAACATAAAGTGAGTGACAGTGGCTCGAACTCCCATCAACTGTAACAGTGGTATGCCCCCACACTTCGGGCATAACTCTAGATCTATGCAAGGTTTACCACGGTACAAAGCTCAATATTATAGTAGACAAACATATTTTTCATTCAAGATCAGTTTGAGCCCATTTGAACATCGTTTGGTCACCGAAGGATTCGGTGTAGAAACTCTCACAATCCCTGGAAACTTACTTTTAAAGTTTAGCATGCTGACATTAAAATGCAACATTTCATAAGCTAAGATAAGTTTTGATGCAAAACCCTATTCATGTTAAACAAATTTTATAAGTGGACTACTTCATAAACTTAATAAGTTCATTGGCAAAACTACAACAATCATTCAATCTCATTTTTATTCAACTACATTCATACTGTTTATTCCATTGTTTTTCTCATCTTTAATCCTTGAAATCCGTTACTAACAAGTTAATTGATGCATGAACCCTAAATCCACTTACTTGATGCTCACGGTGTCTTCAACCTCCCACTCACAGGTTACCTCGAGCTCCCAGAAAAGGTTTCCTCTAAGGGCAGTTGGTCTGGTTCTAGAGAAAGTGTAAGTTAGGGAAGAAAAACTTAGTTGTGGAGAGGAAGATAAAAGGGTTTAAGTATTCAGGGTAAGTGAAGGTCACTATATATGACGTACTCACTATAGATGACGTGCACGGTACTAACACAGGCGACACTGACACATGCGGCGCTGTCAATGGCCAAATCTCCCTTTTCACTCACGACACTACCTTCCCTTCTCGCACGGCATTAGTCCCTTACACGCAAGGCGTTACTCTCATTCACGCGCGGCGATACTCTCATTCATGCGCGGCGATACTCTCATTCTCACACGGCGATACCCCACTTCACGGGCGGTGATACCCTCATTCACGTACATCGATACCCCACTCACTTGCGACGTGATACTCTCATTCATGCGCATCGATATCCCACTCACATGCGGCGTTACTTCATTCACGTGCGGTGTTTTTCTCTCTTCTCAAACTGCGGTAAGCCCTTTCCACACACATGACGCTAAGCCCTTTCCACACACACGGCGCTAGGCATCTCCTACTCACAGTGCTACTCTTTACGCATGCGGCAATGCTTCTTTCTCTCTCTCTTCTTCCATGTGTTTTGCCATACGCGTCACACTCCCAGGAAAATCTATGGTCCTTACAGTGTGTAAAGGCATTACAAAATGGGTCACCCATTTGTCATTGTCTTCCCTCCTAAGTGATGGTAGAAGTCCTAAGCAATGGGATTAGCTTGACCTGATGGATAGAGTTTCTACTTTGGGAGTAGGTGAATTAGAAAGTGAGTTGGTTAATGTCTGCTAATGTTGTTATACTTATTATTATGCCGGTTGAATTATGGTTATGATAATTTATTAGGATGCTAGTGATGGAATGATTTGACAAATTGCTAATTCATATGATATCTGCAATGTAACTGCTCATCCTGAAAAGAATTATTCTCGACACATTGCTTGATATAATAGTGACGCATGGCATCTAAATCTACTCACTGGGCTTTATAGCTCATTCCTTCAACTTCCATCCTTGTAGATTGATAGCAATAGGTTGAGGACAAGTGGCACAAGAACTGCGACTAGAGATTGGAGCCGCGTTGTTTTGCTGAAGTTTCTGTCTATTGTATGTTTCTGATGGCAGTTGGCCATAGACTCTATTTAATTATGGAAGTTATGTAATGAATTGGGCCTTTGATGCCCGGAAATATTTTGTAATACTTTGGAAAAATTTATGTACAATGTTTTTACAGTCTGACGACTGGGTTATCTAGTTTTTATGAATGTGTGTGTGGGGTGTGGAAGTTTTGTTTTTTTTTTTTTTCTCATGATTTGCTTTGATTATCGCTTTTCGACGGCGTTGAGCGCACTCCCACTTGAGTGGCATTCGCTACCCTTTAATCACGATCCCACACCTTGTTGCCTTCCTGCAAGTACGGTAGGAGACGGGGTCGTGACACCTAACTTTCCATCTCTCTCTCTCTCTCTCTCTCTCTCTCTCTTATCCCATATAAGGGGCACGCCACATTCATATAAAGCTCTCTCTCTCCTCTTGGAAACTTTCTCTCTCTTCCCTTAGTAAGCAAAGGGGGGCACACCCCACTCTCTTCATCTCTTGAGATATCTCTTTCCCATCTCTCAACTTGGGGTTATTTTGGCAAAGAGGTTTAGGGTATAGTAGAAGAGAAGTTATCTCTCAACTTGGCTATCAAAAGGGGTTCACCTTTGGTTGAGTTTTGTAATTGAAAAAGGGGTTCATGTTCCATTTGTTTGGTTTGTCCTAAACTTGCTTTCCCGGTTGAGATTGAAGATTGACCATTGATCCCGCGCCATCAAAAGGTGGTGAATCAGTGTGGGGTATAAAAAGCCCGGTTGAAGTAATCTCCAGCACCCTCTTTTGTTTCTTGTAGATTTATTTATTGTTTTTTCTTTGATATTGAAAGAAAGGTTTTGATTGGGATCAAGTTCTTGAGATCCTAGTTGTATGCTTTTCTTTATTTTATTTGAAGTTGTTTTATTGTAAAATGACTACTTGTGATCAAAGCCGAGAAGAAAAAAATAAAAAATTAAACAAAAAAATTATATATAGATAATCCGGCTAGATCACACAAGTCCTTATTTCCTAATCTACCTCGGATCAACATTGTTTAGGCATGAATTAAGATGGAGTCCCGTGTCCCCTCACCTCAAATTCGGGCATAACCTGTAGTATATGCATGACTAAGCATTCACCTACCTCACTTCGTTCGATTAAAGTGTATTAGGCAAGCTTATTATGCAAGCAAAAGTGTACTATAGACATGGAATATGAAGACAGACTTTAACACCAACAACATCCCTATGGTAGTTAAATTTCTTGGTTGTAAAGCCATCATATGAAGGCAACCCAATTATTGCAGTAACGAAAACTGAACACTTGATGGGAAAAATGCTCTATCATAATCACTTCACTCTAGCAAGGCCAAGTATTAGTATCCTCTCGAGGGTCCAAGAGCATCACAACTAAAATAAGGACAATTTATATCGAACCCCTAACCCAAAAATCCCCAATACTATTTTAGCTCGAAAAAATAAAACACCCTCCCCGCCCCCCACCCAACAACGACAAAAAAAACAAAAAAACAAAGACAAAAACGTTCATCTCATATGTCAAAATAACCTTACCTGACTTTTTCAAAGAGTTTTAGACTGAAACACATTTCATGTGTTGTTTTTTCTAAACTAACCCTTTATATTTATTTCTAACATACATTTTCAAAAGAAAAAAAATTATATAGAGCCGAGGCTTGAAACAATCAAAATAGAGTCTATCTCAAAATTTTCATTAGAAAAGGTTGCTTTGATGCCCAAATATCTTCAAATTGATCATCTTGACATCAAAAAGCATGGATATGAGAAAAAAAATGAATTTCAAGTTTCATCTTGTAACGTATGTTTAGACCATCGATTTTAACGTTTTCATATATTTGCTCGATCTACACTATTTTTGAAGCTTTAAATTTTGATAATTAAAGATAAAATTTTTTTTAGACTATCACAAAGACTTCCAATATTGAAACACATTTTTCGACATTATTTAAAGGTGCGCTTTACTTTGATTGTTTAGACCCTCAGGTCTATACAAGTGCCCTTTTTAAAATGGTCGAATTTTTCAAAATGCCTATTGAGAGGACATGCGGATTAACATGTTATATATTTGTAACTATTTCAACTCATGACCATATGCCTTTTGATGGGTATTTTGGAATTAACTCAAGCTATAAAGGGTAAAATCTTATTATTGATTTCTGGCTCTAAGCATGAGAAGAAGACGTTTGGATTTTTCATCCTGAAATTCCCTCACCAGAGTAGCTCTTTTACGAGATTATCTCTGCAACTCTTGGTCAAGAATCCCATTGTCTTTGAGACGTAGAGCAAGGAACATTGGATCAACAGTACCGGCAAAAGCTTTGAAGAGGATGATAAGCTTCATCTCGATCTTTGGGCCCAATCTCTTATGGGTTTAGCTTATAGATTTAGAAACATCTGAAGACCTCTGAACTTTGGATTGTGAAAATCCAGAGATTTCTCTACATCCAGCAAGCCTAGCCAGAGAACTTTCAAAGAGGATTTTGAATTTTTAGAATCTAAAGTACCAGCAATTTGGGGGAAAAAGAAACTGTAAAAAATGGGAATGGACCTAATATTCACATTTACTTTTTAAAAATAGTAATTTTAAAGGGATATTGTGACGAATTTCTCTAGAAGATACTAGAAACTTTAATAGACAAAAATTATTCGATTTTTTAAGATTATTTGCCTTGGACCAAAATTAGATAGCAGAAAAAGAAAGCAACTGAAAAAAGTGAGTAAATAAATTGTGAAAGGGTACGCTGATCTGCATAAATTTTCCCAAATTATAAGGTGATAGTTACAGGTTATTTGCTTGCTCCAAAAATGTTGGGGCTTACGATCATGGGTAGACAGCTCGATATAAATTTCTCTTTAAACTTAACAAACCCTTCAACTTGATTATGAAATAGCTATATTCCAGAAGAATAAACTCCAATTAAACCGCTTGCAAATAATAAAAACCGAAATAGCAAGCTCAACATATTTCCTACGGAAGAAATTTCCAGAGAAGATTCAAGTCCACAGGCAGTGAAAACAAAAACAGCTCCAGAATTATAATGTGAACCATGAATGTAATATGTAGATTACAGAATTACAACCGCAGAATACATATATACCCATTTGCACCTTTCCCAAGTTTCCAATAGAAAAGGAACTCAAACACTTAGCAAAGAACTCGTGGGTACATATTGCTACCAAGCAAATATAACATACAAATATCAATTAACCTCAGTTAAAGGGGACCGAGAATCCCGGGAAGTCACAACACCCGGGATCTCACCAGTCTTCACCTCACTCATTAAACCATTCTCATTACATAATTGAGGGTCAAAGTCATAAGGATGATTTTCCCTGAACTCCTCTACCAGCAACTCAAAAGGCATGGTCTTCATACCCTCTATCGCTTCTCTTGTTGGTAAATTCACATCCTTCTTGCCGGGCGTTTTGGAAGTTGGTTCATAGTCCTACCATTAAATATCAACATGTATGAATCAATGTGCAATATGAAATATCCACATGTTCAGGCACATGTATAATGGATGATGGGATGCAAGTAAATGTGAGACAACATTATCATCAATGCAGGATGCAAGAAAACATGACTGATATAACTAAGAACACATGAATGATGTGACACAACCAGGCACATACAATAGCAACATGGATGGCAATGGGGTAAAAGATAAAATGGCTAACCATATATTTCTCTTGAAAGCAACACTCTGTATGCTGTTCTATCTCTGACACACTGGCTGTATGATCATCCCTAAGCTTTTCTAATGCACTCGATTGTTCTGCCAAAGCCGAGAAGATCTCACCATTTATGCGGTGCTCATACTCTGTCAAACCTGACCAATAGACACTTCAAAGTCAGTTCAAATTATATGAAAATTTGTATTTATTAAAAGGAGCACCAGAAGAGCGACTAATCATACTCTCAATATGTTGAACGAGTGTATCGGTGTGTTTGCTTATGTCTTTCTCAGCCATGGCACACTCTTGATCAACCTCTGCAGTATGTTGTTCGTTACACTCCATTGCATTCCTGATCCACAATCAAAAGAAATGCTATAAAAAATAAACACACGTACATACCAAGTTTTGAAAATGAAGAAGAATCTCCCCAAGAAACTGAAAACTTCAAATGTTTACAGAAAATAGAGTCCATTGTATTTTTTGTTTTCATGTACCAACATGCTCTGACACCAAAACACGATTAAAGCACAGCACAGCACAGCGAACCCAAATTATTTAATCCTTTACAAATTCAAAGCTTCATAAAAATAAAAATCATAAAAGAGAGCAGGCAAAATGAGACAAACCTCACAATAGAGTCCCTGGCTGTAAAATGTCTCCTCCCCAACTCCTTAACAGATTCATAGGTCTTTGTACCATGCTTACTAGCAGCCTCCCCAATGTTGACACTGAAAGGCAAATTCCAACCAGTAAGAGACTTAGCAGACAATGCTACCCAAGACAAAGAATAAAGTCAATATTACCTCTTTTGAAGGAAAACTTCCATACGACAATGTTTGGCAGCAGAAAAGTCAGCATTATCCTTGGAGTCATGCTCTCCCTTCTCAGAGATCTCCTCCCATTTTCTCTTAGCATCACAAGTGGCCCCCTCAATGGTCGAAACATGCTTCTGGGTCAATACCTCGTCCTCTAGAACAGCTTCTTTTAAACCAAGAAGCCCCGCATTTACCTGCAACACCCCATTATTAACTCTTGCACCCGACAGTTTACGAAGACTTGGATAAAATAAATTTAAGCGGAATACAAACCAACTCCTTTTTGCGACTCATGGCTGTAGTGATTAAGCTAGTGATATCTTCTACAAGCTTCGCCTCCTCCAATCTTGATTTCTCCTGTTAATGATGATAAATTAGAATCGCATAGAAAGCATGACCATCTATTTGACAATTCAAATTCAAGTGTACCTCAAAAACCTTCTGCAAATCAACAATGCTTTGGACATGACTCTCATGGGACCGACTAACGTGATGCTGAAGTTTTTGACATTCGTTACTCAACTTTCCAAAGAATCCAATCGTAGTTGCTGTTACTTCTTTCATAAACTCACCACTAAGGCGAGCTCTCTGTGCACACCATAACAGCCAGAGGACAAAGGCAAGATCTTAGACTTGTGCGGTAGAGCATTGGCCCAAGAACTTTAGATTAGGAAGAGATGGCACATATTGCTACTGTTTTCATGCATTCATGTACATGGACAGAGACGAAGATAGAAACACACACAAAAGCACATGCATGAGTCAAGTTTGTACTGGAGAAAATGGACAAACCTCTTTTAACTCCCGAGCAAAGGCAGCTATTTCCCCCCGATGATCGGATAGTGTGGTCTGAAGATCCCTAAATATAGAATTTGCCACTCCAGCCTCAGCAGTCAGCATCTGGTGTATATTTTTTACCAATCAGTACAAATACAAAGCAACTCAAATAACAGGAAGAAATATTTAAAATATGGCTGAAGTCACCAAACTCACTTCTTCAACTGAGGAGGCATCTCTAGAAGATAAGGAGGATATATCTTCCAGGCATGCATTTGAACTTGCCTTATGCAAAAGGACAACATTTTGCAGAGCCTCCAAATGAGAAATATACAATCCATTCAAAGATGCTATCTTTTTCTTCAACTCTACAACAGACTGCCCGGTATAAAGACTGTAAGTTCAAAATTGAACATTAAACCAGCAACCAAAAGTCCTTTCTTCATAATATCAAAAATACCTTATCATGGAAATCCAGACAAGAAGTACAATGTCTTTCGACAGATTGAAGGTACTCATTTTGTTTAGTCATAGATGCAACTACAGTGCTTGAAAGCACACCCATCTTTTGGGCAAGCTCTACTCTAAAATCATCCACTAATGACTGATTTCCAGCATTCAACTTCTCCTTCTTTTCTGCAAAGAAAAAAAATTTAAATGATATAAGAGCAATAATGTTTTATGAACATTCATCAACTATGGATTTTGAAGAGTCAAAAATCACAAGCACCTATTTTGGCAAACAGAGCAATGATATCCTGAATAGATTTCTCCAAATCAGTCCGCAAACTACAAGCCTGTTCAGCCAGAGCATTTTCTGTTCCAGATTGAAAAAATCAAACCATTAATAAAGTTAATCTTTGTAAAGCAGTCACATTAAAAATGGAATGCCAGAAATAATAATGAGTTCTTCAAATCAACCCAAGCATGTCCTAATACACCATATAAACTGAAAGAGAGAAACACAGCCCAAATCCCAAAATAGCAGGCCTACATATCAGACAAGGCGGTTTCCCCAACTTCTGAACTGGCGAGTTCCAGATAAGCTCCCCTTCTAAATTTTATACATTGGAGGGCTTCAGCAGTAGGTCCCATTCCAGGAACAGTTGAACTGAGGGAATCTAACGGGTGTTGCTGTACTGTAGGTTTAAATATGTCCCAGTGTTTAAAAACACATAACGTCTGAGTGCTCAGAACAAACCTCAAATAGAAAATAGAAACTTAGTTGACAATATTTTAAAAAGCCAAAGGAGCTGTAGACATGGCCACCAGAATGCATACTTTTGAAAGTGAAAAAAAAAACAAATAATCCTAGTGCAAACATAAAGTGGCAAAACAGGGACATCATATTTTGCTGAAAATGCATGGTAGAAATCAGGGAAGCACATCGATAGTTCAAATAAATTACCCAGAAAGATATAAGGCCCCATGAAATGCGATAAGATGGGACCAAATCCACCACAGATATCAAAATAGGACTCCACCAGTTTTGAAAGAAATAATACCATACACAGTGCATACAATATAACAGCACACAGCAAGGTAATCCCACAATCCATTCTCCACAAAGGACAAAGGAAACTAACCAATCGACCAATCTCAGAAGATCCAGTTAACCAGCCAGCAAATACTAGACCAGAACCAACTCCTCTTCAGGTTCAATCCAGTTTCTATAAGAGTAATGGAATTGGATCCAAGACCATCTCAATGAACGACTAGAAATATACCTGAACTTTTCTGTTGAGATATCACATATTCCCTCTCTCTTACGGCATATTGTGATCTTTTCAACTCCTCCTTAGTAGAAGATAGCAACTTTGTTGTGTCTTCCAAGACGTTCTGCATGTTTCAGGGATCAACATGGCTATTTTCAGTAGCCAATAAATAGAAACATAACTACTTATTTCATTAAACCATTAGCATCTTCACCTCAGTTTTCTCAAGTTTTAAGCTCAAACAGTGAGCATGTTGAGCTTGCAAATCATGTTTCTCTTGTAGATCTTCAAATTGCTGAAGAAAAAGAAATGTCAACACACAAGGCCACACAGGATGTTACCACATTATACAACAACTTAGATTTGGGAATACCTTTTGGTTTAAATCCAACATACATTCCATCTGATCTATACGCTCAGCCATGGCCTGACAAGTAAGAAACCAATGCTGAGATCAACTACTGAACTCACATGGATGTGGTAGAAATGGGAAACAGAACAATTTTAGAAGTGCTTAAAGACTCAGAAATGACAACAAGAGTGAGTAGTATAAATCCAACAACAGCAAAAGACACTTATATCATTTGCCACAATAGATAATAAAGAATGAAGGACATAGAGAGGCATCCGCTCTATCTCTGAAGTCACTTTATACAGTTCTTTCCAGGGATTAGATTCAAATGTTTGAGGCAAAGACCAGATTTCCCTTTGAAGTACACAAGCACAGCCGCATATCATTTTGAAATGACTCAAATGGACACACTTATACTCTAGAATCCAAAGAAAATTTAAATTTAATGCAATATAGACAACCAGCAATAACCCAATCAAGGTGCAAATTGACTTCAACCTCAGTTTACTTATTATCACAACGAAGGCAAACTAAGCATGCCACTTGAAGCAGGATTCTTCTGCATTCCTTCCAATCAAAAAACATACCATATGGCTAAATTACTTACCACATGAAATATGGCTCCTACTTAGAATCAATTAGATAGTAATTAGAGCAATCAATGTTTCAAAAAGCATTAGGGGGAACCTAGGCGGTCGGCGGGGTCCAGGCCGTCCAGCGCCTAAGCGGGCGCTCAAAACCTAGGCGGCCCAGTAGAAAAATATTTTTTTTTGGGTTTTCTCTCTTTAAAATAGCCTCTAATAAGTTTTAGGTTTCAAATGAACCTAAAACCCATAATTTTGCACATTTAGTAGTAAAAAAAGACTCAAAAATACCCGCAATGAGTCGCATTTCTGCCCATGGGTGGGACGCAAGCCCTAGGTAGGCGCCTAGGCAAGCAGGCGCCCGGGGATATCCGTCTAGGCGGCAGCCCAGGCGCTGGGCAGTCCGCTTTTTGAAACAGTGAGAGCAATAGTAAGCTCCACCACACTAATACAATGAGAAAGTACCAATGTTAAAGGCTAAGGGCATATGCTTGAAATTAACACTCCGTTTGGCAGTGCACAGGTAATGCAGCCCAGAGCAGTTTAGGTGAAATCAACAGGATATGGTTTGCCATACCCTTTTCTCATTGAAGCAAATACACAAAATGTTGGCATTCGATATAGAAAGGTCCCCTTCTCTTTCAATCTCGTATTTATAGCCACAATGGGGCAATGCACCTTATGGACTTCCAACGAATGCAGTAGCATCTCTTATGGTGTTGCTTAATGAAGTGAAAGTCTAGGATTAAAAATAGAAATAGGATGCTAATACTATGTTGGCTACATCTCCACCACTGGAAACTTCATATAAACTAGCCTGATCTGCCATCAAGCAGCAAAAGCAAATACTTATGTACCAAAAGTTCCAAGATCAAAAGAATATGATATTTTGTAAGAATTCAAAACAGAAAAACTTCAGACTCTTAAGTATCAAATCAAATTAGAAGGAGATGTTCAAGCACAATTGGAAACAAGACAGAACACTAGACAACAATATAAAAGCCCATGTTGTAAGATGAATATTCCCCTCTTTGAGATACGATCTTCTCCACAGAAGTCCAAAAACAAACTGAAAAATGTTGAGTGCTAAATCTAACAAAAGTTGACAGATTTACACATACATAAAAAAGAGGAAAATAAATAAAACAGAAACAAAGTCAACTCTCATGGTGAGAAGACAATAAATACCTTTCTTTCACTCTCCTCTTGATAATATCGCTCCTTTGGGATGTAAACTCCATTCTTCTCACGTGCAGCATAAACCTCTAGACAAAACACAAGGTAGCAGAAAAAGGCTTTTAATCCCCCTAAGACAAGAATATTAATTGACTCGAGAGGTCTACTGAAACTTCAAATTATTAAAAAAACTCAAAAGGACCGAGAAAAAGGTAGAGACAAAAAAAGTCTCATCACAAAAGGCAGCACGAGCTTCAATTACCAGCCTTAAGTCTATCAATTTCCCCATAGAGGTCTTTGATAAGAGTTGATTTCATCATTTTTTGATTGACCTAAAAAGTGACATTAATGGTCAGCATAACATAAATATTGAAGTAGACTCACATCAAGAAGCAATAAATGAAACCAAAATCAAGCGTAATCAAAACAAAAAAAAAGGTGCATATCAGGAAACATAATACATGCATACATACACATACATTACAAACATGCACGCAGACATACACACATACATACACGAAAACATGAATATGTCGGTTCATATACATACACTCATACATTATATGAGCCTAAAGAAGATACCGTGAGAGATATATGTTCCAAGTGAAATATTGAATGAATGAAACATGTGATCACAAATCATAAGCAAAAGGATCACAGGGTTCTAGCCTCAAGCATGTGTCTCACATGTTACAAATCTTATGCAACACGGATATGATCAATTCATCTATGTATATCAATGGGAACTTAAGCAGTTTACTCAATTAGTAAGATACAGGACATAAGATTTTGGCTTTCAGTTTTTGCATATATAATACACTGGAATGCATTAAGTAGATTTGAGTGCATATAAAGCAACAAAGGCAATGTTTTAAAAAAGGTCAGCGCCTAGGCTCCTGCCTAGGCACCCTAGACCATAACCACCGCACACCCAGACCCAGGCGACCCAACACAAGCGGATGTACCTGAGCAGGCGGCCAAGGCCGTAGGCCCTTTTTTGTTTTTTAAGTTGGCCCAGAAGGGCAAAAGGGATCATTTTGACCCCCCAAGATAGTATAAATATATGATGGGGGTTACATTGAAATCCCCAAAGTGAAAAAAACACCATCAATCTCTATGCTAAACGTATTTTTGAGAATCTAAAATAATTTTTGAAAATCAAAAGTATTTTTGTGGATTGAAAAAGTTTCCTTTTCTCATTGAAATTATTTTTACGGCGCTATTGGAGGTATTAGAAGACTTTTGAGTTGTTTAGTAGCTCGATTGAGGTACCAAACATCGAAGACCAGAGATTGGACAAAAAACGTCAGTTTGTAATCTTCATTTGAGTTTTATTTTTCCAATTTGAGATGTCTTCTGCGGGATCTACTAGGGGTGGGGTTCTAGGATGGAAGTATTATGTTAACCCAGATAGAAATGATAGAAATAAAATTATGGGAGATGAAATTTTTTTGTTGAGCTTAATGGTTAGCTCATGAAGGGAGAGGGCCTTTTTAAAGTGAGAGAGAACACTTCTCCTTGTGACACAAGTCCAAATATGTGTCCTACCTTTTATTTAGTTGTCACTTGTATATGTGACTCATCACCACCCTCAAGACACCTCACCACCCTATAATGCCACCGCACCACTCATTATCACCTCATTTGGTATTTAGTTATTTTAACTTATTTAAAATAAACGTAAAAAGGAAATTTAGGGTGGTCTCATGGTGCCTTCATATTACAAGACTACCACTCAAAACTATTCTTTTAAATACGTGCTTTATATTATTTATTTATTTATTTTTATTGTTTTATTATTATTATTTATTAATTTTCTTATTATTTCAGTCCCAAAAATTTAGGGTCATCACAGTTTGGGTCTAAGAAGCCTCGTTTGAGAGAGTATATTGATAGTTTTTTTACACCTAGCCCCCAGACAGTAATTGAGAAGGGAAGGAAAAGGGGAAAAAAAAAAGGTGACACTTGAAAATAGATTAAGAAGGAAAACAGAAGCTGGGTGATTCAGTATATTGCTCGGTGGTTTTACCAAGTGGGTATTTCTTTTAACACTGCTCGCTTGAGTAGCTTCCATACACTGTTGGAAGCAATTGGGCAATTTGGGCCAGGTATGAAAGAACCAACTCCACATGAGATTGGCGAGTCATTACTGAAGAAAGAACTTGAGGTTAATAAGGAATATCTCAAGACCCAAGGAGGGGTGGGCTAAATTTAGGGTTTCTTTAATGACTGATATGTGGAGTGATAAGAGGAGAAGTACCATGAATTTGTTGGTAAATTGCCCCTTGGGTACAGTTTTTTTTGCGATCTATTGACGCTTCTAGTGATATTCATGATGCCCATTATATATTTCTTTTATTGATAAGGGCATTGAGGAGGTTGGGGAGTACCTTGTAATGCAACCGGTCACAGATAATGTTGCTCCCAATCTAGCTACAGGTCATTTGCTTCGACAGAAGAGACCTCGCATATTTTGGACTCTTTGTATTACACATTGCATAGATCTTATGCCTGAGGCCATTGGTGAGTTGGTTACTATTAAAGGAGTTCTTCCTAAGGCCAAGGAGGTTATAGTCTTCATATACAGTCATGCAATTACCCTTAGCATGATGCACAAGTTTACAAAGAAGAGAGAAATAGTGAGGCTCGAGGTCACTAGATTTGTCAGTGCTTACCTTTGTCTAAAGAACATAAATAGCAAGAGGATCCCATTGAGGCCTATGTTTGCTTCAGAGAGTAGGTGTAAGTGGTCTAGAGATGCCAAGGGAATGAAGGCACAAGATATCGTTATTTCTAGATATTTTTAGCGTTGGGTAAAGCATGTGATAGTAGTATTTCTTCCCTTAGTAAAGGTCTTATGCTTGGCTGACTTTGATAAGCCCTCCATGAGCTGTATATACGATGCATTTGAAAGGGCTAAGAATGAGATAGCAGAGAATTTGAGCAAAGATGAGGCCAAGTATGGCCCAATTTGGGAGATTATAGATGCCAAGTGGGATAGGCAGCTCCATAGACCATTGCATGCAACAGGGTACTACTTGAACCCCAAATTCCTTATGCAGATGCAAATATTGAGGCAAAAGAATTATGGATGGTTTTAATGAGTGTCTTGAGAGATTAATTCCCAATCCACATATCCAAGATAAGATATCAACATAAGAGCCCATTTCGTTCAAGTGTGTGTTAATGTCATTCGAGAAAGATATGGTACTAAGACAAAGAAACAAAGACGAACCACGTAATCTGGTTTGTACTTTTATTTTATAGTTTTCTAATTTCCTTTCAATTTTTAGGTTCCTAAAATTATGTATGATAATGTTAAATACTTAAATTAATTATAAAGGTTGTCCACATATTGCAGCCCAATGGTCAAGCAAACATGGGAATAACGCTCCACACCTCCAAAAGATGGTTATTCAGATCCTGAGTTTGACAACTACCTCTTCTGGTTGTGAGCGCAATTAGAGTTCGTTTCTGATGGTATTTTTCTATTTTATATGCTTTTCTTGTTTACAAGTTCATCTTTATAATATACATTCATAGAAGATAAGAAGATCATCGTAGTCTAGTACCCATGCATTTTCCTTATAGGTGCATACATAGAGAAGAAATAGGCTTGAGCAAAGGAAGCTCAATGACTTGGTTTATATAAAGAGAATCAGAGGCTCAAGGTGAAGAAAAATCAGCCAAAGAAGGATCTCGTCACTTCGAAAGACATGGAGAATGCTTCAAATTGGCTAGTTGGGGACCCTAGTACTGAGGAGGTTTTCCTCGGAGAGAGTTTGACCAGGAAAATGGTCGAGGAGACTTCAAGACAAGCTTTTGATTATAAGAGGGCCACTCCAGCAATGACTTATATTGATACTTCACACTCACAAAGAGAGATAGAAGAAGAGGAGGCAGATGTAGAAGAATCTATGGAATAAGAGGAATATGTTGAAGAGGGTGATGATTTTGATGATGACAGACTCGATTCAAATGCAGATGCAAGCAATAACAATGATGATTCTAATTCTTATTGAAGTCCTCTATCTTCTTTTGTTGTATCTTTATCGTACCATCTTGGTTTGGGCTTTAGACATTTGGATTTTGGATGTTAGACAAATTTTTGTTTTCTTTTTTGGACTATTTTGTTGTGTGGTTTTATACATTTGAAAGTCAGTTTGTTGAAGACTTGGGGAGTTGGAGACTTAAATGTTATTATGGTTTATTTTATGGATATGGAATATGGAAAATTGAAGAGTCAGTTTACTATGGTTTGAATTTGGAAATTTTGAACAAGTTTAGTCTAAACAATGGACATGTGATATGCTGATATGCCATATGTTGTTATATTTTCAAACATATTTTGCAATATTTTCAAATGTAATAAATTACAAAATTGACACAAATATATGCATATATGTGCGTTCGGATAGCAAATATGTGTATATATCTTAAAAATTTGTACCATAGGATGCCCGAGGTTTTGGGTGCCAAGCCAGTCGCATAGGGGTGCATATAAAACAACAAAGGAATCATTATGGGATTCTTGTAACTCAAATTTAGCATTCTAGTCATATTTATCAAGAAATTATCTTTTTTAATCAACAAATTGACCAGGAAACAATCGCACAATAGACACTAGAAAGATGTTTTATCAGACATATTATAAGGGTTTCAGCTCAAAGAGATTGTTGTGTGAAATGTGGCTAGCAAATAATGAACAACTTAGGAAATGGGCTGGGGTCATGGTGGTAGCATCCCCACACCCAATTACCACATCGTGGTATCTATTCCTACCGCTGACACCCCCAATTAACACCATCTAAATGTAACTCCCTAATCTATTGAAAAAAATGGGTAGGGGCCTGTCTTCCCCATCGAATTACCCAATAAATAATGAACAACTCAATAAAAACTATCACAACTACATGTTTGTTGCTTAGTAATTTGCACAATTTATTTCAAGTGCATGCATGACTTCTTTTGTGTGTGATATAAGCAAGTAGGATACTAAGAAGTGTAAATTTCCAGAAGCAGCAAATGATTTGGATTCTTCCAATACAAAATTTAAAAACCAAAAAAAAATAAAAACATAAAAAAATCTGACACAATTGCAAGAGTAGATGGATTATCAAAGAAATATCAATGTAGGAGCTCCTAATTCACTGGTCAAGAGAAAATTCCATAATAATGAAGTCAAGGCTGGATCATATGGTGACTTAGCCTTTGCCAATCTTGGCAATCGCATATTTAACAACACTAGAATAAGAGGGCCTTCTTTGTCCTTAGTAAAAGGAATGACTCATACCTAATAAACCTTCAGTTGTCGTCCAAATTACTGGTCCCTTTTTCCAATGTGCCAAATGAAAAGACTATTTTTGCCCATGGATCTTAAGACATTCAAAGGCCATGAATAATGATTTGATCGATATTTTATAATACAGATATAGATGTCTAAATCCCCTCAAATGTAGGACTACAGATTAAATTGATAAAGCTAGCATTGAATGATAAGATAATGATACATTGATAAATTTATTACCCACCGTTACCATAAAATCTATGTTTCCTAGAGTGAAAAGTGTACTAATTTTAAATTTTCTGTAAGACTTATATTCAAATGATATATACTGCACCATGGTTTATAAACTTCAAAAATGATGGTTCAACAATCTGTTACCTTTACAAATGCATGACTGAATCACAAAGCAAACCAAACTGTTGTACAACTTGCAGTTTAGTCACAAGCAGTTGGATGAAGAATAATATAACAGTAGGAAGTAGATTTCCTAGTTGTCGCTATAACAAATCGATCAAAATATGACAGACCAATAGTCCATGGAGCAAGCCCAACAATTTCAATACGAAAGGGCGATATCCTAGGCCATAAGAACGAGGAATAATCCATTTTCAAGTACAGCACTCCACTAAATCCATGCAAGACCCAGCCGAGCTGAGTAACCCCACATGCATGCACGCACGCACACAAGAGCGCACACACACAGAGAATCTAGTTTTGATGAGTCATCCAACTCATCTATTCATATGACCTTGAAATTTCATCTTAGAGTTGGATTTTAGATCAAATATTTCAGGGATTACTAATTTCCAACATGTTGATCACGAATCTGGAGAAAAAAAATGAGAATTTGAAATTAAAGAAATAGAATTTTTTTCAAAAAAGAAAATTACATTATCCATTTTAAATTTTAGTAGAGAGGCCATTTTATGGACACATGTTCCCATGAACTTGCATGTGTGAATAAATGTTCACATGAATGAACTATTTTCAACTGTAAAATCCTAAAAGCCATTTTTATATTAAATCCATGTCACAAACTTGGGTTACTGCAGTTATGTGAACCAGAGATTAATTCAAATTGCCAAAGAGAATCAAAATAAGTTCCCCTACTTGCAACTAATGCATATCAAAACCCTCAAGAGTCTCAAGTTCCTCAAAAATGAGGCCATAAATCAGTACCAAGCACATAGAAAATAATAAGAAGGGGAAAACCCCATTAGACATGTGGTTTGGAGCTCTTAGCCCATACTGGGCCACATATGGTGCCTACCAACCACTAAAGAACAGAAGTAAAGCGAAACTAATGCTGAGATATGTGGATCATCTCGTTTGTGAACAAACCACATAAAAACCAAATGGGACAATTAAAGATATATGAGCATCATATTTGCCGAATACATTTGGATAAACAAGATCATTGAGGTATGACATGTATGACGCACAACGATTCATGAGTGATGGCCAAAGCATGTCTTACCAAAGGCTTATCCAGCAATCAAATTATGGGCCTAGAGCATGGGAACATCCTATATATTTCATATCTGAAAATGACATAGAATTTGAAATGCAGTACAATTGAGATTAAGACACTGAGCTAAATGCAAGAGCTGATGAAACGTCCCAATAACAAAATATTTTATTCAAAAATTTTATTCAAGCACATAGAGATGATGCATATGATATGGATATATAAACATATGAGTTTGATTAGGCAGAACAAGTCAAAGGATACCATTGCACAAAATATGCAATACATGTTACAAGAAAAGAACCATGTTAGGGTACAAAGAGATAATGGATAGCAAATTAATTTTACAATGTCATCACAAATAACAGCATACAAAGAACCATAAAGTGAGATTCAATCCTGGCCAGATTGATTTGATAAATGCATGAATTCATGCAGAAGAACTCAATGCCCATAAGGAAGGCAAGCGAAGCGCAGCCATAGGAACGCGGCAAGCGAAGCGGAGCCGGTAGGGAAGCGCAGCCGTAGAACCATACATAAGGCAAGGGAAGCTAACACTTTTGGGTTAGCTTATATAGCTCCCAAGCTCTGTATGGTGGAAGAGTGCTTTGCTTATTGCTTGGCACTAGCTCCTTCCTATGTGAGAGGGTGCTTTGATATATATATATATATGGAAAAAATTTATATAAGGTTGCAACCTTAAAATGTAGAATTAAATATGCACCTCAAAAATCCATCAGAAAAGGTCATTTAATGTTGAAAAACCCTCTAATAATCTCGAAGTTGAGATGTATGAATATAAAAAAAAAAAAAAAGATTTTGAGTCCCAAAAATAGTGCATCTTGCAATACGTTATGTAGACCGTCCATTTTCAAGATTTTCATATGTTTATAGATTTACTTGATTTTAATTATTTTTTGAGTTTAAAATTTTACAATTAGATATGAAAATAGATTTTCTGATAATCCTAATAATTTTGTACATTAAAATTATATTTTATGATAAAATTTGGAGGTGCACCATAGCTGGCCATATGTGACGCCGATCAAGTACAGCACCTGTTAAGAGCTGCGAGTTAATTCAAGTGGAAAGTCTGAAAAAGACAAAGGGCATGCCCAAAAAAACATGGTTCGAAGTAGCCCAAAAAGATATGGGGACTGATGGCCTCACTGAGGATATAACCTTTAATAGAGCAGAATAGATAACCAAGATTCATGTACCCAACCCCAATTAATTGGGAAAAGGCTAAAATGATAATGATGATGATGATGATGATGATATATATATATATATATATATATATATATGGGCAGTGATCTAATGCAACGGTTGTATCAAAGTATAATGCACCCACACTTTTAGAAAACCATGTTTGTGGTATTTGTATGACCCATATGACCCAAAATTTTGCACACACACTCTCTTCATCTTAATAATCAATCCCAAAAATACAATAGTTCCATTTGAATCCTAGATATGGTCAAAACGAGTCCCCTCCAACAACAAATCTAGACCATTCATTTAGTGAATTTCAAGATCTTAACCTTTACAAACTCAAAATCATTTTTTTCTTTTTTAACATTGTTCATCTAATGATAATAAAGCCATCTAAAAAAATTGAAAAAAAAAATATGCTTCTAAGGCCTAGATCTAAGCATCTTATAAAAATGGACGGCCTATATTAGTTGAGCTAAAAAAATACTTTCAAGGTTACATTTTCAAATTTTTTCTTTTTTGTGACTGTTTATTAGAATGAAAATAGTGTATATTTTAAAATTTGG